TGCTTAAAATACTTTGGATAATAAAGTAAGTCAACAAAAATTCTAAATTTTTTTTAATAAGACGAGTGGTCAAACAATATAAGCAAAAACTCAAAATCGCTTATATTATGGAACGGAGGGAGTACTACTAAAAGGTGGAGGAGAGAAATAAACAGAAAATATTAAGCACCGTTTTATACTCAACTTTACCTCGATCACGCGATGTCCACCATTTTCTTTACCAAGGATATATAGATAAATAAATATACACGATCCTTATAGAAATATTACTAAGGGTGTGTTTGAGGATAGGGAAAAGAAGATTGAGGAGATGTTCACTACAATTTTATTTTAGCATTGTCAAAATATTTGGTAAGGTTTGAGAAGTACAAATCATGTTTAGTTTCTTACCTTTGCCAGAGTTTAGATTGCTACTTTGCCAAATTTTGGTAAATACTAAAATTTGGTAGGGTTAATTTTGACAGTAAAGTGAATAACCCCTAAGTAGATACATAAAACGAGATAAGCCATTAACGTATAAATAATTAAGTATTAATCTTTTAAATCTTAAGAGATAGATTAATATAATTTTCTAAAACAATCTTTATATAGAAAATGTTTATAAATAACATATCGTTTAGTAGGTTAGGAAGTGTGTGTAGAAAATGTTTATAAATAACATATCGTTTAGTAGGTTAGGAAGTGTGTGTGAAAAATGAGAGAATTTTCCTCTCCTTATATGCTGCTACCCAAGTTGGCCTATATATGATTGCGTTCGGCACAGTTATTTGGCCAGGCTAAACAAATAAACATGTGTCTCATACATATATAAAATTTTATGTATAAAAGATTTTTTTTAATGTTCGGATTGGCCTGGATGTACCAGTTTTGGTCGGTTTAGCACCAAATTAAACCAAACAGAATCCATAACCATAAACTATCCATAAGGTCAGCTGGTCAGCAGTGCCAAAACTGGATTTAGCGTTAGCAAAAGCCGTTGGTTTTGGGGTCACGTAAGAGCAAAAGCATAACCAAGGTCTTCCCTCCGTTTTTAAATATCTATAACTAATATAAATATTCGTTTTTTTTCGGTCGTCACCTCATAGGTGCGGTGTTTTTTTCGTCCCCCTCGCCTCCCCCCAAATCCCAGTCGGAATTGCATTGCCCCCACCCAAAAAAATTCCCAATCGGAATTCAATCAATCTTCACAATGGGAATTCAATGAAACCCCCCGAATCCCAATTGCACTAAGAATCGGATAAGGGAAACACCTTCCAAAATCGGCACAACCAAATCGGATGAACACACCGCAAGAAAAATTAAACCAATCTTTGTCCCCAAAAAAATCATCCCACATACATACATCACAAAACTACACACCCTCGGCCGTCGCCGCTGTCGGCGGATCCATCCGCGGCCGCCACCGACGCTGCCACTGCCGACGGATCCATCGCCGCCGGATCTAGGGTGGGAGGGAGGCGACAGGGGAGGAGGGAGCCACCGCCGGCCCGCAGCCGCCGCCACCGCTGACGGACCCACCTGCCGACGCCGCCGACACCGCCATCGCCGCCGGATCTGGGGCAGGAAGGAGTCGAGAGGTGAGAAGGGAGCCGCCGCCGCCGGATCCACCCGCGGCTACCGCCGCCGCCGCCACCACCGGCGGATCTACCGCGGGAGGGAGGCTAGAGGGGGTGGAGGGAACCGCCGCCGACGCCGCCCCTACCCTCGGATCCGCCGCAACCGCCACCAACCCGCCGCCGCCGACCCGAGAGGGAGAGGAGGAGGGGGGGCGCCGCCGCCGTCGCTTTGAGAGAGGGGATCGGGGGCGCCGCTCGCCGGTCGCTGCTCCGCGCCACCGCAGCCGCTCTGGGGAAGAAGGGGGGGCGGCGGCGCCGCCGTCGTCGCTCGGCGAGGGGGGGAGGGACGGGGGGAGGGGGGAAATGAATCCTAGGGTTTGGGTATTTTTATTTAGGTTAGGATTAATCTGGACTGTCCATTCGATCGGACGGCTCCAGCTGCTCCCACGTCGGGCCGCCGGCCTATTGGGCCACCGAATGGAGGACGCAAAATAGACTTCAATGGAGAAAGAAAACAGGCCAGACACATAGAATAGACAAAAGGGAGGCAATATAAACTTTGCTATATTCGGCCCAAACATAGAAAGGAGGATTTTGATTTTTTTTTTTCCAATTAAATAATTTGTTAAATGATTTTTGTATTATTAAAAATTAGCAATTAAGCTCTGATAATTCCAATAAATTCCAAAGAGCGTAACTAATCATGGAGAATTTAATAAAATTAAATTTAACCATGTCATTTTATTTTTCACACTTGCTTTACTTGTAAATTGATTTAATTATACACCTACCTACTTAAAAATACCAAATATTTTAATGAATTACATAATGTAAATTTTTTTTAACTTTTTCTCAATTTTTTGTTCTGTACACTTCCCGTTGCAACGCACGGGCACCTTTGCTAGTATAATATTATTTATGTTTGCTCATTCACTGATTATATAGCCAAATACTCCCTCCGTTTCAGGTTATAAGACGTTTTGACTTTAGTCAAAGTCAAACTACTTTAAGTTTAACTAATTTTATAGAAATTTTTTTTTAACCCAAGACAAATATATTATAAAAATTTATTCAATTATAGATTTAACGAAACTATACTGGCGTTGTAAATATTACTACTTTTTTTCTGCAAAGTTAGTCAAACTTAGAGTAGTTTGACTTTGACCAAAGTCAAAACGACCTATAACCTGAGACGGGGGAGTAGCAAGTAAAATATACAAAATATAAATCATACCTAATTAAACTAACTTTATTGATAAAACAAGTTGCAATAAAATAATTTACATTTAACATTTTTTTTGGTCAAATGTCGTATGTAAAACTCAAGAACAAGCGCCACAATTTTTACTCAGATTTTTTGCTTCTTCATAAAATAATACTGACATCCAGTTGTTGAGAAAGACACATTAAGAATCTAGGATGAAGTGATCCAGTCTTCTAGCTTGGACAAGTCATTGGAGATTTGGAATTTAGGTTGGTGACAATTGTTAATCCTGCTGGCTTCTCGTCCTATACACACCAAGTCTCCTGAAAGAGAGAGAGAGAGAGGAAAATAACAGAAGAACATTCAATGATAACAGACATATATATCACTGTTCACCACTCATCAACTGATAATGTGCCACAACGTAGCAAATTCCTCGTTGCCACGCTTGAATTGACTCTCTTTTGTCCTCATTTTCTTATGTCGTTGATTATTTTCAAGCATTTCTAATTAAGCCAATAAAAAGACACACGTATATTAAAAATTTTGCGCTAAGATATTTGTTCGCTGATAAGGGCTACAGCTTATATACTCTTCTCTCTCACAACCTGGGCGGCTCACTGTCCCCTGATTGTCTGCTATCACAATCCTAATTTTATACCAGTACTCATTATAGTTTTTTTTTTTGCGAGAGAACTCATTATAGTTTGGTCCTTTGGGTCAACAAAACTCCTACACCCTCAATCTAAGTGGGTGTTTAGATTTAAGGTTGTAAAGTTTTGACGTGTCACATCGGATACTCCCTTTATTTCAAATTGATCTACATATTTCATAGGTATACCAAGACCAAGAAAAACTAATAACTCTCTCATACTATATTTACTATAGCAACAAACTCGATGCATGCACCACCTCCACTATTTTCTAACCAATAGCAAATCAAGATATTGCATGTGGGTTATAAATACTTGTGTGCATGGATGCATGTATCAATGTCCATTTACTCAAATGCACAAATAACGAATAGACTTAATGAATGATCACAAATATGTAGATCAATTAGGAGTAACCTCAAAAAAAAATATGTAGATCAATTTAGAATGGAGGGAGTATTATATAGGGTGTCGCATAGGGTGTTCGGGCACTAATAAAAAATAATTACAAAATCAGTCAGTAAACCACGAGACAAATTTATTAAGCCTAATTATCCGTTATTAGCAAATGTTTACTGTAGCACCACATTGTCAAATCATAAAACAATTAGGCTTAAAAGATTCATCTTGCAAATTAGTCGTAATCTGTGCAATTAGTTATTTTTTAGCCTATATTTAATACTTCATACAGGTATTTAAACGTTCAATGTGACAGGGTGAAAAATTTTGAGGTGAGATCTAAACAGGGCCTAAAAACGAATAGCGGAATAGCTTCTGGCTATGAATCTTATACATAAAATAACAATTTCATAACCAACATTTAATTATTTTTTTTACGAAGGGGTACATAATAAAAATGATACAGCGGCCAGTAGTTAGTAAATTTCACTTTAGGCTATATCTTATTACTAATGTTTCGTTTTAAATCATCCAATAACTATTTTTTTATTTTGAACCAAGTAATCTTACCTTTGTTGCACTTTAGACCATTCAACTATCTTCCGGGGCATGTTGGAAAGGTCGACTCCTACTCATAAATAAAATCCCACAGCTATATGTAGAGCATTTCATAAACATATTACAAGTTGGATGTAGATGGATAAAAGAGTTGAATAACCTGAAGTGCCACAAAGATAAAAAAAAATTACCCAGTTTAAAGTGAAAACATTGGTTAAATAGTGGTACAAAGTGAAACATCAGTAATAAAAAGTAGCCAAAATGAGATCCACTCTTTAACAAAAAAATTGATTGAGGGAATTAAATAATTAGGATATGTTTGGGGAGCTTCTAACAGTTGCAACTTCTCATCACACTATATCCAATTCCCTAAAAAGCCCATATTTTCATCCATTTTATGAAAATCTATAGTGACATAATTCAAAAAATGAACCAACTTCTCCAGATTCTTAGAACTTACTCCCTCCGTCCCAAAAAGACTCAATTCCTGGGTTTTCGTGTCCTACGTTTGACTATCCGTCTTATATGAAACTTTTTTATGATTAGTATTTTCATTGTTGTTAAATGATAAAACATAAATAATACTTTATACGTGATTTATCTTTTTAAATTTTTTCATAATTTTTTCAAATAAGACGAATGGTCAAATGTTGGACACGGAAACTCAGGAATTGAGTTATTTTAGAACGGAGGGAGTAGCTAACAACCAGCAGATTCCCAGAATTTTAAACTCCCCTAAACAGGTCTTGGACTCAGGCTATAGTTGACGCAGGAAAATAGACTTCTTCCAACCATTTATATTGGTAACATATTATTTGGCCCATATGGAAAACAGGCTTTTCAAGACGACACAAAGATGGGTTTTACGGCCTTTTTATATTGGGGCTACATTAGGCCCACGACCGGTTAAGAAGACCCAATGTTCGTGACGGGATTAAAAAAGGCCCAGCATGGTAAGGCCCGTTCATATTCTTCCCAAGCCCAAAGGTGAGCCCATTACTCCGCAACCCAAATTCACGTGGAAACTAGCCGCGCCAATTTGAAACCAAACCCAAATTGTGAAACCCAAACCCTCGGCGAGCTCGCCGGCGATGCGGCCGGCGGCGCCGGCAAGGCATCCGTCCGCCGCCGCCTCCTCCTCCTCCTCCACCAACAGCCAGCAAGAGCCGCGCCCGGAGAACCCCCTCCTCCTCCTCCCCTCCTCCCGCGCCGGCAAGCTCTCCCTCGGCTGCCCCGTCCTCGACCGCCTCCTCTCCGGCGGCCTCCCGCCCGCCTCCGTCACCGAGATCGCCGGCGAGTCCGCCTCCGGGAAGACCCAGCTCTGCCTCCAGCTCGCCCTCCTCGCCCCGCTCTCCCCGCTCTCCGCCTCCTGCCTCTTCCTCCACTCCGACCTCCCCTTCCCCCTCCGCCGCCTCCGCGGCCTCGCCCCCAAATCCCGCCCCGATCTCCTCGACCACGTCCTCGTCGCCGCCGCCCACTCCCCGTCCGACCTCATCTCCCTCCTCTCCCGCGCCCAGCGCCTCCTCGCCCACCCCGGCCGCCTACCCCCCGTCCGCCTCATCCTCGTCGACTCCATCGCCTCCCTTTTCCGCGCCGACTTCGACGCCTCGCCCGCCGACCTCAAGCGCCGCTCCGCGCTCTTCTTCCGGATATCCGCGAAGCTGAAGGAGCTGGCGCACAGGCACCGGTGCGTGGTGGTGGTGACCAACCAGGTGGTGGACGTGGTGGAGGGGGAGGCCGGGAACACCGTGGCGTGGTCGTCGGGGCGCCGGGTGAGCCCCGCGCTGGGGATCGCCTGGGCCAACTGCGTCAACACCCGGCTGTTCCTGACCCGGGACGCGGATGGCCGCGGCTGCGCGAGGAGGCGGATGAAGGTGGCATTCGCGCCGCACCTGCCGGAGCGGGCGTGCGAGTTTGTGATACGGAGGGACGGCGTGTTCGGCGTCGAGCCGTCGGGAAGGTAAGGAGAGTTCTCGGTCCTTTTGGGCGTTCATGTAATGGTCGTGATGTGTTCGACGAAATGTCTGCATGGTTGATTGGATCTAGTAGCGTTTTTACTTGAACTATGCAATTCATGAAATGGCTGGAAAGGCATGTAAATTAATTAACCTCATTGCAATACAATGTCCAGCTAGTTAAGGTTTTTTGGGGGGCCTAGGTACTCTTCTGGGAGAAAAATATTTTGTCTACGTCTAGAAGTCTGGAGACAGACTACTAGGTTCTTGTCTACTTGTCTTATTGCATGGTTGGTTGAACTTTCAACGGTACTTGTTATGTACTTTGGTGAAAGATTAATGTTTTCTGTGTAATTTGTCAAAAGTTAACCATAAAAAGATAATAATGAGAAAGCTGATGTTTCCAAAGGTTGTTATTGTTGTACAGCACACTTTTGAATCAGCAACCATCAGAAGTTGTGAACTCTCTTTCAATTGTGACATTAGCCGCCTAAAGTAATTAAATTACTGTGCTCATGTGTGATTACTGGTGCGTTGTGGGTATAAAAGGTCAAAATATGAGATATCATGTTAAGAATATAACAAAGATTCAAAGAAAGCATTTAGTTCTAGATTTGCTAATTGTGTAACTTTGGTAGCATGCATGTTCCATTTATAAATATACCAACATTTTAATGCAAATAACCAATTTGCGCTGTTCCATTTTTTTGCATTGTGAAAAAAAAATCTGCACATGAAACATATTTTGACAAGTTTAGCATTGAGTTGGCTAATTGAGCAAAAATGCACTACTTGCATATATGAATTGAAGTGGCCCCATTGACCAAACTAAAATGTGTTGCAGCTACAGATGAACACTTATGTGTTGCTCTAATCTTATCTTGCTTTCTTCAATGATGAACTACATACTAAAAACTAGGTTACGTTCACTCTAATTATTCAAATCGGGTCAAATAATTATAATAATCATAATTCTACTAAGTTTCATCATGCAGTTTCTTCTTTTGAACCTGTCATTTGACAGTATAAATTATCCTTGAATTGAGGTGCTCTTTATCAAGAGGATGAGCTGTACTTTCATTTTTTTTTTCAATTTGACGAGTTAGCTGAGTGCTTAGGCCTAGTGGAGCAGCTTTAAGGGGTAAATATTTTAAAGTAGAAGACAAAGCTAATCCATTATTGATGTAAAATAATATTCCAGTTTGAACTGGATGCTTCACTCTCCATTTTAATGAATACGCTTGATAATTTTTGACGTTGTCTTGTGATTGTGCCACTATGCGTTGCTTTGGTATTGTGATGACTAAAGCATTATTGCATCACACTCACACACTCGTGCTGTATTCTGTTTCTATACTCTTCCTTTTTTTAGATAATGTTCTATACTCTTCCTACTAGAGACAAACTTCATTTGTGTCTGACACTTCGTTATTGCCTAATTCTGTATCCACATAAGGATATTTTACATTCATTTTACCTGGATCAGATTGGGCAAAATTTCCCCCTATAATCAATCCTTTGATTTGGACTGGTGAAATGTCCTCTTCAAACAGTCCATGAAGCAATTCAATGGACCAGTACCTCCTGTGACCATAACTCAAGGCTCCAGTGCCACCGCGTACTAGGGAAGGAACCAATTGTCCTTTACCTCTCTTGGATTCTCTCAGGAGGGACTTCTAGAGTTGCACTGATGAACACATATTTGTTGATGGATAGTTTACTTCATGTACTATGTGTGTCGGGTTGGATTGTCGTACTGGTACATGAAGACTTGGAAGAGGCCCGATGTATCAATTTTGATTGTTTGCATCTAGGTTCTTCATTTGTTTCTTTCTTGAACATCCTATAGTCTGGTTTACAAATAGGTGTTTAACCTCCCTATCGCAGAATTAATAGCACAAGCCTTTCGTCTATTAATAGATTCCTAATCACGTTCTGTGTTGTGAATCTGATATGCTATATATCTAAAGCAGAGTTTGCTACAATAGTAGTTCTCTCAGATCCCTAAATTTTCTTACCTGATTGTTGTAACTCTTGGAAAATAATATAAGATCGATCCTAGCAGTCGATTCACCGAACTGGATAGTTCATTGTCGCCATTCCAGAACTGAAAAAATATATCAGCTCTATATCTATTTATAGTTCAAGCCTTTTTTAGTCAGATCAGGCATAACAATGGGTTAACAGCCTAACATGTGCATATGGGGACCAGATAATTTATACACATTTGGGCTTCTTAGATTTAAATCTGTTCTAGTGGGACATCGTCCATGTTTAGCCTGTAAAGAATTCCCGGTACAATGCCAGGTTAGCCCTGTGTTTAATTTGGCCTTGTGCCCCTGTCCCCTCTCTTCCTTACAAACACAGTACCATGCACAGCACATCAAACAACAATCCAGATGTGAAAGCTCATAGAATTGTCTACAGAACGGACAAGAAAGGCTCAAAGCAACCAACATAAGCAATGCATGCCATACATATCTAGAAGCATAATTACAACTATGTTAGGTAAGTTCTCTGAAAGACACACCTCTCCTGCTTATATCCAGATGAGTCCAGCGAGAAACAACCACTTGCTAGTCTCCTCCTACCCTCAGATCATTTGTTCATACCATTTGTAGGTGCACCTGAATTCATGGGTGAGCAGATGGACAACGAGGAGCTCAACCTAAGTTTGTCGCTCCAGCCATCATATCCTTCAAGGTTTCAGACAGAGTTTTCGTGTTGCTACTGTCCTAAGAGGTTCCAGAGCTCTCAGGCATTAGGTGGCCACCAGAATGCACACAAGCTCCAGCGTAACCTTGCGAAGAGGAATCGAGAGGCTTTTCTATCAATAAGCCAAAGGAAGGGTGCAAATGCTGGAATAAAGGATGGAAGCTCTGCACTCTCTGCTGAGTCTATCTGCAAAATTTCAAGTGGAAAGAAGCATCATAAAGAGGCCTGGCAGGTGATGCAGGGATCATGTGGTTCATCATCATCTGGTACAGTGATGCACAAATCTATCGAACAGGATGTAGAAGACGAAGATCTATCAAATGGGACGATTGATCTGTCCTTAAAGTTATGATATGTTATTTGTTTCTTATTTGCATCATCATCTGAATTTTTGTGGGCTACTTTTATGTGTACCATCACCTGCAATTGTTTGGGATCATCCTATGATGGGTATCTTTATGGATCCAGTAGTTTCATATACAAGGAGGGTCGTTGGTTAGAAAAAGTGATCTTTCCTTGGTTCCATACTTGTAGATACATTTTGAATAAACTATCCCGACCTGTAGCTTTGCAGAACATTTGAGTTATGTCCTTGTATTGCCAGTTATTGGTTTATGAACATGTTCGAGTGCTCTGATTAACGTGCTGAAAGGATCAACGAAATTTATGTGCATGTTCCTAGTTACAGGAACTACTAACTAGCATCTTGCTTCAATCTGGCTGTTCCATGAAGGGGTCCAGATGATTCCATATTCCAAAGGTAAGGCATCATTTTTATTTTTTTTTGTCAAAGAACACACTCAAGACTTTGCATGTCATTACATGGCTTCTTAAGGTCTAATGATGATCTCTTCATGTTCCAATTTTGACTCGGAAACTCCTACTATGCCCTGTTATTTTTTTCCAAGAAATATTAAACATTCCTTCAGTCATTTGAAATAACTTTTCTGATCTGGGAATTTAACGCAGTACATTGTCTGATGCACATTCTTCTTGAGAAAGGCACCATTATTTTCTTCACTACCAGATCAGGTAGGTTTTGTAGTCACCATTGTTTCTTTATCACCAGAAAAATGATGCGCATGTTAAGAATGGAATTTTCGCAGTACTTGATGAGTGCAAGATCGGAGCATTCAGATGATTGTTGCAGCACTCTTTGCAATCAGATCAATTTAAAAGTTGCTTGTCTTCTGTATGCGGTCCCAAAGTTGTTCTGAGATGAAGTTTCTCACATATTGTATCAGAACATGGAAGCCTACATAGATTGAAACTGCAGCACCTGTGGTTTCTTTGACAGTAAGATGCTCTTATCCTGCTATACCCTTTCAGGCAAGTTGTGCTTGCAGACATGGAGCTACTACTAGTTTACTAGCACCACATGATTCCATCCAGATTCACATGTCTAGAGTAACTATTTTTTGCTACATGGGCTTAAAGATTTGTGGCATGTATGCCACCTAATTTGAACACAAAAGGAGGTCAGTTAAAGTTTCCCAATCTTTCTTATCTAGTGAACTTGTTTATGCAATAGTATCTTGGTACAATTGGAATCAGTGCACTGTCCTGAATGGCTTCTCAACATGCTATTTCTGCACCGCATTTTTTTTTGTCCTAGCTAGATTGATTTCAGCATTTTCTAGTAACAGTTTTTCTTTTATATATATGTCTGGTTTTGGGGCATTGAATTTTATGCTCTGGGTGGTCTACGGTCCAAATGCAAGAAATGAGCTTTTGCTCCTGCTGATCTTCCCTATCGATTTTCTCGTCACCTTCTGTGCGAATAGGTGGTGCCTTTTGTCTGCTTTATGGGTTGTGCTTATCAGCTTGTGTGTAAAAGTAAAACATGTCTGAGGCAACTGACGGTTTTCTTGTGTATTTTGCAGCTGTGGCGCGCTTGGCTGTGAACTTTGTGGCAATCGCTGCTTGACAGCTTTGGTTCGTGTATCTCTGCACATTACTGCTACTGTATCATTTATTTTTCACCAATCATCCATCCTGTTGTTCGCATCTCTACAAAAAGTTCAGATAAAATTGCCCGGCTAATTATTTTTATTCTGATTCTGGAGCACATTTTGAATATGTGCAAAGTACAGACTAGAAGCGGTTGTGGATTTGCAGTGACTGTATGGCAGAAATTCTTAAGCAAACATATGCCACAGTATCTTATCTGGGACTGGATGAATCTATATTACCAATAGAAATCCAGGCATAGGTATGGGTGCTTTCTCTTTAGCAGATTTGCATGTCCTCTTTTGGAGTGCCACTTGCGTTCGTTCCCCTGGGTTGGGAACCAACCCTCCGACACGGAAAACGGAGCGGTCCATTAGCACGTGATTAATTAAGTATTTGCTAATTTTTTTAAAAAAGTGGATCAATATAATTTTTTAAGCAAATTTTATATAATTTTTTTTTAAAAAAAACGTACCGTTTAGCAGTTTGAAAAGCGTGCGCGCGGAAAACGAAGGATACGGGTTGGGAAACCTTACTATCGAACAGAAGCATGTCCCGTGGGGTGGTTGCTTGGGCCAACAAATCCATATCACCATGTGTCATAATGTCAAGCATCTCAACTCCCCTTTTAGGCGCTACACCCATCATGTACCAATCAAAACTTTGTGGCCTTCCCCATGATAGCAACACACATTTATCATTCATGTCCTTTGACAAACCAAATTTATGTTACGGATTTGCTAAACAATACTCCCTTCATCCCAAATTGATAATCATATATGTTTATGCGCCAAGACCACGGATGATTTGTATCGCATCAATCAAAAACACTATGTGCACATTCTCCCAATGCATGCGTCGATTAAAACACTATGCCGATTACTCCCTTAACATGCACACATTCTTCCTTGCTACATTAATTGTGTTTCGATAAAATCCGTATCCATGTGGTTATATGATGATCAATTTGAGAAATTTTGGATTTTTTTATATGATGATCAATTTGGAAAGGAGAAAGTATTTGACAAAAATAGTAAAAAGATCTTTCAAACTTATGACCTTCAGAGTTTAGACCCCCTCCACAATTTGAGCTCAACTACCTCCCTCTGAATTTGTTAAGAAAAAAAAACTACCTCCACTAGCTTTGATGAACTTTGCAAGTAGAGGAGGTAGCATTCGACCTTGGGGATAAAGATAGGGAAGTCCATTATAGCATCAGTTTGACGATGGATAGCGGTATTTAAAGCTTTGATTGTTTGAGCTATAGTTTATAGCTGATAAGTCATAGAAAGAAACCAAAATTAATCTGTAGATAAAAACTTTTATATCGTTGTTATTAATGATTTAAAACTTATTACTGAAAAAAATAGAATGCAATAAAAAATTTGAATCTTAAAATGAAGTTAACAAGCATATGATATAAGAGGATCATGACTAAAAAGATTCCTATTCTGATTGAAATACATATTTTACCTTTGTTTCCGTTAGCACGTTTTTCAAGCTACTAAATATTTTGTTTAAAAACTTTCTATATTGAAGTTGCTTTAGAATATCAGATAAATCCATTTTTCAAGCTTATAATAAATTAGAACTTAATTAATCACATGCTAATAGTTTTTTTTCTACCCTAACTTCATCGAGAATTCCATAGGTTATATGATCTTTGTAATCTAGATTTCGACCAGATACTCTACCATGATGTCACTGACCGATGCCAAAAAAAAAAAAATTCCAAATCCTATCAACCATGCCACAATCTAAACATCAAATTTGCTTTAAAATCAATTGCTCTGCCCCCCAACACGGCCAGCGTGACATAGACACACGGGCGCTCTCGCTCTCCTATCTCCTTCTCCTCACGAGTCCACACCAACCAATCGCAAATCACGCCGACGTGGAGCGCTAATCCCCACGCCCGCAGAAGATCCCCCCTGCCACCTTGACTAGCTACAGTCCCCGCTGCCACCTGTATGCCTACTACTTTTGTCACCAACCCAATCCCCTCCGAGCGGTGGGGCCACCACCCTCACCTGGCCCACCTGTCAGCCACGTCGGGGTATCCGCCAGCTGTCCCCCCCACGACAGGTGGGCCGGCAGCGGCGGGGTGGCCCACCGACCAGCGAGAGGCCCATGACGAGCGGCAGTACACGACGACGAGGAGAAAAATAAAAAGAAAATATCCCATCATATATGGTCCGGAACCTTTTCCCCTCGTAGCCGCCATCCCATTTTTTTTCTCCTCGCCGACCCGCGCCGTCTCGCCCGCCAGTGACCACCGGGCCCCACGTCCGTGGGACCCACATGTCAGCGGGCGCGCGGTGCGGTGGGCTCGCGTAGGGTGAGGTGAGCGAGGGTAGCGCGCGACAAGTACTGGTACAGTAAACAAAACACAACGAGGAGTCGTAAACAAAGCGCTGCACAAGGAGCGAGGCGGAGGAGGAGGCGCTCACTCTCGCGCGCGCGCACACACTCGCATCGTCGCACCGATCGCGGCGGCGACGGCGCAGATCTCCTCCGCGGCGGCGTCTCCGGCTTGCGCTGGTTCGTCGTCGTCTCTCCGGCTCGGTGACGCGCGCGCGGGTCGCTCTCTGTTGTGCTGTGATTTTTTTATTTTTTATTTTTTTTGGTGGTGTGTGTGGCGTTCATTTTTTTTGGGGATTTTTTTTGACCTGGATTTGTGGCGCAGATCTGAGGAGCGGCGGCGGAGGAGGAGGAGGAGGAGACGGAGGGGGAGGGTAGGGTTAGGGTTTAGGGGCGATGCAGCGGCAGGGGAGGAGCCTGCAGAGGTCGGGCTCGAAGCGTGTGCTCGACCCCACCGGCGGCGGCGGCGGCGACGACGACGACCATGCGGCCAAGCGGCCTCGCGTGCCCGCTCTCGCAAGGTGATACTATGATACTACTATAAGGTGGTGGTGGTGTGTGATCCGGTAGCAGCTTTTGCTTGGATGTGGTGGTTGGGTAGGGGTTGGTGGGTTAGGCTGTAGGCGGCTACAATTGGGAGGGAATTTTGGGCACTTTGCTTTGCTCCATTCTCCATTCGGACTACGGTCGGAATGTTAAATGCTGTTGTGAAACCTCCCATCCCACCAGCTTAACATCAAATAGAGCTGTTGAATTAAGCTTAATCCTTTCATTAGCTCAGCAGGTTAAGTGTGTACTTGGAACCCCAACTCAAATGATTCTGTGAGAACACATGCACTCACTAATGGGAGCTAAAAGAGTGTGTCAGCGTACTCAGGGTAGTACTGTGGTCCATACCGTTGGGTGGGGCTTGGGGCTTGAGTGCTCGGTTTGTGTCACTGCCCCAGCTGATAGCAAAAACTTTCAGCTCCCTGCATTCGTGTCTCTGACTCTTTTGTTATGTGATACACGATGGCAATTTTCCGATTTCGTTTGGGCACCTTTAAGCTCCATATGCATTAAAGTGTCTTGGCCTAACTTATTTTTACAACTGATGCTAAGCACTGTATGAGGCATTGGGGTTGTAGATATAATTTCTCCCAAAATCAAGAGAACATAGATGTAGCCATGGGTTATTTGTATCATAAAATGGCATTAACGAACTACAATTTTGTTGCATTGAGCCATCTTGAAGTTCAATTAGTCTGTATCTGTCATATTGCTGCCATGATCTATTGTTGATCTGTCCTAATCCATTTGTTTGGTATGCTGAATTAGAACTTGAAAAATGTGAAATCTTTATATGGTAGGAGTGAGTGCAGGCTGCCTCAGAAATGCTATGCAAAATTTTCCAAGGTTAACCATCAACATTTTGTTGAATTAAAAGGCAATGATCTCACAACCATGTAAGATACTAAAAGAGTAAATGTAATGATTGCTGAGTGGTTGGGATTTGGGGAAAAAAAACTATAACAGACGCTAAATTTTTTTTGTGTATATCCTTGAAATTGCAAAAATATGTTTGTATCTTAGTTGCTCGATTTAGAGGTTGCTCACTTAACAAATGACACATATTGCAGTGTCATTGTGGAAGCTCTTAAGGTGGATAGTTTGCAGAAGCTTTGTTCATCACTGGAGCCAATTCTTCGTAGAGTTGTGAGTAAAAGAACTCATAGCATTGGATGTTAGACATTTCTTTTCTATAGAGATCATACATTATTTCTTTGTTGATCAATCTAATTCATTATATTCTGGAATAGGTAAGCGAAGAGGTAGAGCGTGCTTTAGCCAAGTTGGGTCCTGCCAGAATTCAGGGAAGGTACAAGATCACTGTAAAACTTGCTTGTTGTGGTGATACTTTTGGATGTGTCTATGTGAATTTCAGTTTTTTCTACAGTTATGGTTTGAGCACAACGAAAAACTTAATACAATAACATTATACCTATTGGAAACAGGTCCTCTCCAAAAAGAATTGAAGGACCTGATGGGAGAAATCTTCAGCTTAAATTTACAACTAGATTATCTCTACCACTGTTTACTGGTGGAAAAGTAGAAGGTGAGCAGGGGGCAGCAATACATGTTGTTCTGCTAGATGCGAACACTGGGGTTGCTGTTACTTCAGGGCCTGAATCGTGTGCAAAACTGGATGTTCTTGTGCTTGAGGGTGACTTCAACAACGAGGAAGATGAGGATTGGACGGAAGAGGAGTTTGAGAGTCACATTGTCAAGGAGCGTGAAGGGAAGAGACCTCTTTTGACAGGTGACCTTCAGGTGACCCTTAAAGAAGGTGTTGGAACCATAGGGGAGCTTATTTTCACTGATAACTCCAGCTGGATAAGAAGCAGAAAATTCAGGCTTGGGCTGAGGGTTGCCCCAGGGTCTTTTGAAGGTATTCGTGTTAGGGAGGCGAAGACAGAAGCTTTTACTGTTAAGGATCACAGAGGGGAATGTATGTTTGCAATGAGTTATTGTTTTACTCATACTGCTAGATGATTTGAATGTTACTCGTTAACCATATTTCTATTGTATCTTGCAGTGTACAAAAAGCACTATCCACCTGCCCTAAAGGATGATGTTTGGAGATTAGAAAAGATTGGCAAGGATGGTGCATTCCACAAGAAGTTAAATGCAAGTGGGATTTATACAGTTGAAGATTTTCTCCAGCTTCTTGTCAAGGATCAGCAGAGGTTACGGAGTGTAAGTTCTACAATTGTTGTTAATAGGTTGTAATTAATGTAGTTTAATTGATGATCAAATACCTCTTTTTTCTTTTAGATTCTTGGCAGTGGAATGTCAAATAAGATGTGGGAAAGCCTTGTTGAGCATGCAAAGACTTGTGTCTTAAGTGGAAAGCACTATGTATATTATGCTATTGACTCAAGAAATGTCGGTGCAATATTCAATAACATCTATGAGTTCACTGGTTTGATTGCTGACGACCAGTTCATTTCAGCAGAAAATCTCACTGACAACCAGAAGGTTGGCATCTTACTTATCTCTTTCTTTGTTTTAAAGTTAAAAATGCAGTATCTTATAAATTTATAATTTTGAAGTGTTGTATAGCTGATTTTTGGCATATTAGGCATGTTGCCACATGACACTGTAAACTTATGTTGCTGTGCTGTTGGCAGTAATGTATCAATGCACAGGTCTGCGTCCTGCATGTTCACCTTGCATTCAGAGCCCTATAGTAATATACATAAATCTGTGGTGCTTCATAACTAGTTTTTGATATCACGTTTCCAGTGGTTGCCACAATAGAATATGCAATTTGTTATAAATTATGTGCCTCTTGAAGGAAATGTCTTCCTGACACCGATATGTTTCTTTTGAATTCAACTGTTGTGTACCCAAGAGCTGAAAATATAAATACCCTATTGAGTGCATAACCTGGCTGAACTCTATTGCAGATCTATGCAGATGGATTGGTTAAGAAAGCATATGAGGATTGGATGCATGTTGTAGAATATGATGGCAAGGCACTCCTGAGCTTCAAGCAGAAAAAGAAATCTGTCACAACAAGAAGTGACACGGCTGCAGCAGCAACAAACAGCCCTGTTTCCTATGGTTCATCCAACACACACAAACAATTGTCTCAACCAGCAAAAGCAGGGCAAACTTCTACAGGCACTACAAGTGAAGGTAATATGATGTTCAGCTCAAAATCCCGGTACATCTATGTATGTTGACAATTTTTATGGTGGTCTCTGCTGTTACTATGTTCCCTGTTATGTTTTTGTTTAGCAGCTACATTTTCTTTGTTATGTTGGGCTCTATTTATCTTACCTAATGCGAGCCAAGTGATTTCGGTTTGTCTTTTTATCCATATGCTCGCTGACCCATCCCTGGAACGTAATGTTGCTGAGCTCCTACTTAATTTATTTATATGGAATTATCCATCTCATCTGGAGTCACTCTCTTGTCTTCAAATTTCATAATCACTAATTCACTGCAATCTTCCTAGTGAGAATAGAAAGATGGGTAGAAAGTGGTCTATGCAATTATGACAAGCACATGCAGAGTAGGGCAGTAGGCCCATTGAGAATGCTAAAACTGGAACATGACAAACTGTAGCAGCACTGGAAGATGTGCGTACGGCCGTACGTCATGACTACAAACTGCTTTAACTACTACCATTCAATACTTTTGTTTTACTTATTGGAACTCAGCCATTGTTGGTTGGAATTGATGTATGCATTTGGAAACATGTTGATGCTTCTGATCATGTTCAGGTCAGATTATCTGTGAACATATTATTGCCATTACTAATACATTGCGCTACTGAATTCCTTTGGTCTTTTCAGCAGATGGATCTACAAGTGCATACAATGGAAATCAGGCAGGACGATATGCAGTCAATTCTCAAAGCATACCTGCAAACGTCACTACACAATATGAGCGGAGTTCACTGACACCTGAAAGCCAGTTCAATGGTTCCGCACTGCAGAATCAAGTTTCTAGGGGCTCCAATATACTGGCATTGGGACCACCACAGCAACAACATCAGCAAAATTTTGAATTCTCAGCACTAGGTGGCCAGTCCATGCAGCCCACCGGCTTGAATCCTTTCGATGACTGGTCGCAACCGCAGGAGAACCGGAGTGGGGTTGACGACTACCTGATGGAGGAGATCAGGATGCGGAGCCACGAGATATTGGAGAACGAAGAGATGCAACAGATGTTGCGGATTTTGAGCATGGGTGGCGCGTCAACCAACCTGACGGAAGACGGCTTCGCATTTCCTAACTACATGCCATCAACTCCCCCCAACTTCAACTTTGGGGATGACCGTGCCCGCCCACCTGGGAAAGCCGTCGTCGGGTGGCTCAAGATCAAGGCAGCTATGCGCTGGGGCATCTTTGTCAGGAAGAAAGCTGCCGAGAGAAGAGCTCAGCTTGTTGAGCTCGAGGACTAGCAAACATCCTAACTGCTGGTCTAACAAAGCTCCATTGGTGTTGCTGCTGCTGCTGTTTTAAGGATCTGAAAAATGGGCTTAGCAGCTCCTGTTTGGAGGACGCTTCCTTGAGGCCCTGGGTTCTTAATTATGGACACGGATTCTCGTCTACTCTTTTTTTGTATAGTTGTTTCATCATTGTTTGTTTAGTGTGATGCTTAGTTGAATCCTGTACGAACCTTAACCAGAACTGTGTACATTTAATTGTTTCAAAATTCACACAAGCATTCGACACTCCGTTTGGTTGTAGTTTAGTTTTGAATTATACCAATATAAAAGCAGGAAACATATAATAGAAACAATATAAAAGAAACACGGATTCATTTTTATTTTTTTAAAAAGAAGGAAACATATAATAGAAACAATATAAAAGAAACACGTAGTGCAGTGGGGGTTTGAGTTGAGGGACATATCTATCTTTTTCCCTCGGTTTCAGGCATGTTTCAGCCAACAATTCCTTTACGTAATGCCAAAGTTGCGCATACCGTGCATTACAGGAAAACAAAGGGTCCTGTTCTATATACAGTTGTGGAGAAATGACAGTATACCATCACAAGCAACTGAAAAACATACCATCACATTTTATGGTGCAGTTGTAGTGCCAACGCTGACCTATGACAGCAACAAAAAAAAAACAAAAAAAAAAAGTTTCCAAGCATTTATGTCTTCTCACATCGCAACCGCAAAATGCTCTATACAATCTCGACAACAAACTCCTCTCTCTGACATAGTGAACTAACACAGTGAAGGCTCATTTGGCTCCATTCTACTGTGTCAACAGCTAAACCATTTGGGTTCTGGGTAAAATTCCATGAGGTTTCTCAAGCTCCAGTTATGAATGATGGGAAGTAATGCTCCAAAACCGCCAGGAAATCTCTCCTGTTGTTTTCCATGTTGACCGGAACGCCGAGCCGGCCAACCGCCTCGACCAGTTCCCCCCTCAGTCTCTGCGGCAGCAGCTGCCCTCTTGCACTCGCGCATGCCCGGTACAGCGGCAGGTACGCGATAGCGAGTGCCATGGGCTCCGGGAGGTCATGCAGGCGGATCGGAGACGCCCCTCTCCTCAGAACCCTGGTGATGTTCACAAAATGATCTTCCCCAGCCTCTACTCCTTCAGCAAATGCGGCCTGAGACCACTGCTCTTTCAGAAAATCAACCAGGTCTTGGGGAATATCCATCGTACTCGTGGTCGCAATGCTGTCTGCAACTGCATACGTAGCGGCGGCATCGTTGAGGAAGTTTGAACGGAGAAGGAAGGAAACACCTTCAAAAGACCCACTACCCTGTCCCCTCGCAGCTTTGAGAATCTGTGGGCTGAGGGCTTCGAGGACATGCCGGGGGATATGCGCAAGCAGGTAGGTGGCAACTGCGAAGTGGCCGCAAGAGGCAGCGGTTGTTACAGCAAGGCACATCTCAATGTCTGAAACATGCCGGTTGACAAACCACTGGACAACCTGCAAGCAACCACGCTCAGAAGCTTTTACTAAGGGACAAAGGAAAGATGTGGCATGCCCTTCATCCACCAAGCATGCCATCGTTTCAAATTTGCAGTAGTGAGAAGCATAGACTAGAGCAAGATCGACATCGACAGCCAAGCTGTTCTGATGAGCAATCTGCAAAAAATAGGCAAAAGTTATATAGTTGCATACCATGCTTCTACAAAAATTCTTATTCACACATGCCAAGGACTATATAATAAAGCAGATAGTAAGAAAGTATATTCTGCTATAATATAATCAGTACTGAAGAGCAAAGAACAGCACAACCACAGATACAGCTTTTTTGATAGAAACATAGATGTCAAGATCCTACAAAAATTCGATAATCCAACAAATGCATCATAATCTTTTTGTTCATAAAAATCCAGCTACCTTCCAAAATCTAGCTAAAGTCGTACCAAAATTGTTGCCCCGATTTGATTGCTTATTCTTATTGAATATCTCTATGTGCAAGCAGCGAATGCAAGGGAGGAATCAACAACAAGGTACCCATATTAATGATGCCATCATGGGGTATAATAGATAAGAGAGAAGAGTCAATGATAGTTTGACAAACTGACAGCACTAGCATAACAGGGCAAAGCATTGCGTTAGTAGCATATATGAGTTATGATAATGCTTATTACTTCCTCCATTCCAAATTGATCTACATATAGTTTTTTTGAGGTTATTCCTAAATGATCTACATATTTGTGTTTATTCATTAGGTCTATTCGTTATTTGTGCATTGGAGTAAATGGACATTGATGCATGCATCCATGCACATAAGTATTTATAACCCACATGCAATATCTTGATTTGCTATTGGCTAGGAAATAGTGGGGATGGTGCATGCATCAAGTTTGTTGCTAGAGTAAATATAGTATAAGAGAGTTATTAGCTTTTCTTGGTCTTGGTGTACCTATGAAATATATAGATCAATTTGGAATGGAGGGAGTATGTGGCAACGTTTCAGGGACCTGGGGACTTTCCAATGTCATACAAAAGAAGTAAATAACTGACCCAATATTTGCAGTGGCACTATAATCATGTCTAAATACAATGAACAAAAAATATTATCTCCAACTATTTGCCCATGGTAAAAGCGCACTAGTTTGAATGCTCGGATATATTTCCCACTGTAACGAGAGACCAGAATTAGAAAACACTAGTGCATAGATGGATATGTTGGCCACAATTGCAAACCAAGGGCTTCTAGAATAGCAAAAATAAAATGCCACTAATGTGCTCATTTACCGCAATATGAAATAAAACAGTTTTAAGTCTTCAGATCACCGAAAACAATACAAACAATTGCAATTACCTTTAGCAGAATGCGTACAAGCTCAGTACTTCCAAAACGTGAAGCTTCTAGAAAACACTGATTTACATTCTCAGCACCTCCTTCCACCAGCAATGACAAAAGCCCTTGTATGGCAACTGCTGAACTCCCAGAAGACCATCCAGGTTCAAATAAAGTTGAGAATAGTGTAAGTGGGAAGCAGGCCGCATCGAATGCCTCAGTGAAAATCTTGCCACTGAGATTGTCACCAGCTATGTCCAAGAAGGCTTTAAACGCTGATAGATGGAACTGTACCTCTTGGTGAGTGCTGCAGTTTGCTTTGTAACACTCTGTATCTTCAGAACAACGATGCAGATGAATGCACTGCAATGCCCATTCTATAAACTTCTGCACTTTGGCACCTGCCTCAATTTGTAAACGTTCACCACCAGGACAATCTTGTAGACGATCATGTAATCTAAATTTGAAAACCAAAAGAACTAACATCAACAATGATGGTAAACAGAATATCGTGGAAGAAACAGTATGCAATTTGTGGTTACCTCTGAGCTATGATTTCCTTGCTATCACCTAAAGTAAGCGCCTTGCTTTGGCAGGCAACGACACAAGATGCGAGCAATGAAGTCCTGAGGATTGCCCTGGCAAAATCCTTCGCCCCTGATTCTACAATCTTACCTATCAGATGGTTGAGACCTTGAAGATCCTGCTCCGTCCGCAAGAACCAAATGGCATCAAGAGCAACGGACAAACCATAATCCAGCATTAACTGATGGTCTGCTAGAGCAACAAGGCTTTCAGCGAGACCCCACTGCCGCGAGAACAAAACCAACTGCAGCGAATGCCCAAAATCAATCTGTCCATGCTCATCTATCCTCTGGTTTGGCATGCAACCATTTGATTCTTCAACAGGGCCATTGCCATGAACATGGCTGGCACTGCATTCCTGGTCATCCTTGAGCACAAGGCTAGCCTGGCCATGCTCTGCACAGTGTGCCGGAGTGCCATGGCAGCTAAGTTCATCAGCTTCTACTTCAGTGAACACTGCATTGTCCAAAGGCATCACCTTTGCAGGGATAGCTAGTTGCTTGCCATGCTCTACCATTTTCTAATTTGCTTCTCCAATCAAACCATTATATTATGTCCTAGCAAGAATATTCGGATACTCCCTAAAGATCAAGCAGAAAAACACCGATTTAACAACCAATCTATTAGCTTGAAGAATCACTTAATCCAAGATGCTAAACAGGGGGACAAAAGGATCCAAAATTTAGCGTTTACTGCACATCACATATAACCATAAAACTAATAAACTTCTAGTGGAGGCTGGAAATACGAACAAAAAGATTTCAAGGATTAGAGCTACAGATAAATCAAAATCCGATTGACAAGCAATTTGTGGGGGGTCACCATATGAGATCAAATGTTGCATTTGGTATTTGGTAAGATCATCAGACCACACGGATACCGACGAAGCAACAGCCAACCAAGAGATGATATCCCCACAGGTACGAAAACTTGAAAATTTGTATTTCCAGAAGAGTTTTAATAAGAAAACAAACTCGAAAGACCAACTCTCAACTAGGAACCCAACCTTTTTAACTCAGAAAATTTACGGATTCCTACTCGGCCTTTACAAGGGGCTCTTATGAATTCAAGCAATAAATAAATATCTACCTCCAGATCGAATTTCCTAATAATCTCAATATGTGGAAACTAAATTCAATCTAAAATTCCTTTAAAAGTAGAAGCTCAACCTAACAACCCTCTTAAGATTTTCAGATGATTAACAAGAATAAAAAAACTCAGGACTATGCACTATTGGATGGATCAAGACCCTTCACCTGGGCGTTCCAAAACCGCGCCTCACCGCGCTCGCCGCCATCGAGACGACGGGCGGAGGCGCCGGTGCCGGCGCGACCCGGGGAATCGGCGGCCGGGCAGGACCGCGGGTGAAGTGGAATCCCGGGCCGCCGCCGCCGCCGCCGCCGCGTGGAATCGGGGAAAGGATTTGGCTCGGATTTTGGGGGAGAAACGGAGGAGGAGGGGGAGGAGGGTTGGGTGGGTGCGCCGCACGTGCGGCGAGCGGAGGAAGAAGAAGACGACGCACGCGAGGGAGAGGGGGGAGGGGAGACGAGACGATCTCCAATTCTGCAGCGAGAGAGAGAGAGAGAGAGATCGGACGGCCCTGGTCGATTTCCACGGGAATCGGACGGCGGCGGTGGCCAAGTGGGTTGCGGAGACGCGGCAGTACATTCGGATGCGATCGTTTCTTTCTGAGATGCTTATACCCAACTACTACGTCCGTCCTAAAATAAATAAGTGTAGCCGTGAATATCCGTGTCCAACGTTTGACTGTTCATCTTATTTAAAAAAATTATGAATTTTTTTTTAAAAAATTAGTCACACATAAAGTATTATTCATGTTTTATTATCATCTAATAACAACAAAAATACTAATCATAAAAAAATTTCAAATAAGACGAAACAATCAAATGTTGGATATGAACAGTATAAAACTACACTTATTTTGGGACGGATGGAGTACTAGTTTACTCATTTCATCTTTCTTCTACCAACAGAGCTCCTACTCCCAGTTAACCAAAGAAATTTGGCTGATGAATAGATGTATATGATATAAATTTAAATTTCTAGTATCCTTTTTGTTGTTAAACTATACATTGTTCAATTCTATTAGAGAGGTTGCAAAAATTTTGGTATGCCCGAGTTATAGAACAATGTCTGTTAGAATCATTTTGGACTCAATATTGGCCTCAATAGTTCATGTAGTACAATGTTTATGAGTTGTTTCCAAGTTAATAGTCATTTTAGATAGGTATTATCATTTATAATAGATCGTGGAATAACATACATGCATAAGCAAAATCATTTACAAACAACATGAAAACTAATGTGGAAATTGACATACTTATCATAATTCCCACCGAAAGAAAGAAAAAACAACTAGCAAAAATGTTAGTATTGGCATTGTCATCAATATGCTTAGATTAGTCTTGCAGTCCCTTGCTGAACTGACTTTGTTGGTGGGCTTGTCATTTGAACTTCACCAACATTCGATTCGTCAACCGGTGAGTCACCAACATTTTGTGTTCTTGCTGCTCTTGCATTACGCCTTCTAGCATTTTGAGCCCAATTGGCAAGTCCTTCGACCACATTCTCATCAAATATTACTTTTTTGAATGAAGTTCCCATCTTCAAGTTGGACAAAAGAAATTAGTACCATAAAACATTAAGAAAAATAGCTAGATAAGTATCGTGTAAAGGATATGATGTCATTAATATGTGAGAAGATCACAATTTGAAAAGGACAATTTATATCATTGATATAGTTTATTAATGTTTCATTACCAGCTTTCATGTCCATCAAGAGAAATAGTTTACTTTCTAGGAAAATTAGTTTTAACATTTAATCTACTAATTGAAGAATCTAATCATATTATCAAAATATGTTTCTTAAAAAACTCACATGAGAGACAATAGCGTAGAGAGGGAGGGTGCTATAGCCGCATAGAAGTTGACTGATGACACTGAAAGCATAGAAACAATTGTGAGTTTTCCAACTGAAAAAAAATGATTTTCCTAGAACAAAATCTAAATATGGCAATAAGTTTCATCTATACCCACAATATGCCACTCTTTGTGAGGATGGCATGTGGGCATTAGCCCACCTATTGATAGGATATCGATGGCATATTGTAAACATCAATGAAACTAAATGTTGTACATCTTACTAGGATAGTTATTTTTTTTTCTTACCTTATGACCAATCGAGCAATAACATATCCTTTATTTCCCATAATGCATGATTTGAATCCATATGTAACCTGAATGTGTTGACAGATTTTTAGATTTCATCTCACCTCACCTCACACACTTGATAAAAAAAAGATAGTAGGCTAAATAAACGTAGGATTCACAAATTTTATAAATTTGAATCAAATATAAAGTATCATGTGATAGTTTTCAAATAGCTAAAATTTGAAATTTTGAACGAGTGGAATTTTGTGCAAATTGTATTAGACATGTAATTAGCTTGCGTACTATGCTATTAATCATGTAAATGTTTACTATTATTTAATAAAAATAGTTAATATTTTTACAAGCTAGCAATGGACATCTAAGGATATGTTTTATGCATGGAATTCATTTGCCAGGATATTTCCCTAAAACTTTGAGTCATTTTATGTTGTTCTTACCAGAAGCCAAAAGAAAAATGCAATTTCAAATGCATTTTGGAACAAGACAATGTGGATCAACAAGAGGACTATTTTTGGTCGGTGGAACCAAAATAGCTCATCTGATGGGGATACTACGAGCTCCCCTTCAATCGCTGTATGTTTTTCAGCAACCTGATGGGCTAGCTCAGTAATAATGTGCTCCAATTTAGTCCCAACCACAAGTAGCATCTGAAAAAAAAACAAATCTAATGTTTATTTTTACTAAAACAATCCTGCTTTGTAAACATGGAAAATCATATGTATGCCTATAATCAATATTTCTACTAAACATAGGTAGCAACATAATTCGTAGGAATGCTTGCATTTAATCTAGGGATAACATAAATGTTAATGTGCGGATGAATTGTTATAATAAATGTTGTACTTACAACAAATGGGACTGCCGATATCCAGATATAGACATACCATCCTAGACATATCCATATGTAACAAAAGAATATTGTCAGTTTTTTCACATAGTACAAATATTTAAAGCATAAAAGAATTGAGCAAATTACATAAAGAAGCTTGACTAGTGTTTTACACAAATGTAAAAGATCAATGGTTTGAGCCATGATAGAACAAAAGAAGATGCCCGAGTTTGAAAAGTTTTGTGTAGAAACCACACCTTGAACATTAAGCAGCAAGAATATTATCAACATAGCCCAAAGGTACCAACTGCATTTAATTAGCATATATGTTAATTAGTTTCTACATAAAATTCTATCGAAGGATTATAAATAACTAGTACTTGTGTGCAACCTAAATCTTTATCCATTAGTTACTTACCTAATGCCTACAACTTTCTTGAAATCATCCTCCAGTGCTCTAATCATGTATTTGTAAAAGTTGAATTTAGGATTGCCCCTGCAATGTTTCTGTTATATAAAAAAAAATTACTGATGTAAGACAATATGCCTAAAGAAACAAATTAGATATCCCACTTTTCAAACGTAAAAGTTCGAATTACCATAATGAAGCCAAGCCGCATGGTTACATAGTCCTCCTCAGTAACCGACCCATAGAATTGTTTTAAGAACGAGCGCTATATGATGGAAAATAAATTAGTTTGTTCTCTATCACAATTCACACAATAATACATATCAAACTATTTCTAAAAATCTACTTCTAAGTTTTTAATATTGTTTTTGTGAATTGTATGTTAGTGATTCATACACCAAAAATTTGTATTGTATACTAAGTTGTCCATTAATTAGTATTGGCATTTTAAAAAAAAATCTTACCAGCCAACCAAATGTTTTCCACCTTTTGCCGTGTCCTTTAAAATGATTTTTGATAAATGGGAATTCTTGCACATGTTTGATCATTTGGGGACCTGAAAGTTTCATTCCAATAATCCATCTGTAAGCAAATGGTAATGGATCGATCTTTACTTGCCCAATGGAGAATGTTCTTTCATCATACCATTTTCATCACTTGCTTGGATCTTGTTCTCCCAATGTTGCCATTTCCTTGTCTAGATGATAATGCACAAAATGTTTAGCAAAAGCATGACACCTATTAACAAAAAGATGTAAGAATAACTTGATTTCCAATACCTGTGCGATTCCTAGAAGAACTGTAACAGCACTTAGAACCACATGGGAGACCGCTAATACGAAGATAAATATGTGTAATTGATGAATGGCTTCAACTGAAAGTATTGGAACTAAACCCTGTGTAATATAGTAATAATTAGTTTCGGCAAGAAGGTAACATGAATGTGCAAAATAGATAGAAGATAAGCACAACAAAATGCAGCATGATAGTGTGTTACTAAGATGAGAGGGGAGTAGCATATTGAAATGTGTTGTGGTTTGCTTTCATTTTATACAATGGAACACGAAGTAAAAGAAGCATAACTACATAAACTTGGTACTCCCTCCTTCCCAAATTGATCATTAAAAATACAATTCAAAATTTCTCAAATTAATCATCATATAACCGCATGGATACGGATTTCATCAGAATTTAATTAATGCAACATGGGAGAATGTGTGAATGCTAAGTTGTACTAATTGGTAGGATGTTTTAATCGATGCATGCATTGTGAGAGAATGTGTGTATGATGTCTTGATTGATGTGATTTAAATTATCCTTGGTCTTGGTGCATAAACATATATATATATTATGATCATTTTGAGAAGGAGGGAGTACTAATTAAAAAAAAATAACAATATGTATGATGGATGCACCATGGTACTTGTTCTAAGTTGTAACAACAATATTGTGCACAGCTCGGCGTCCTACAAACAATAGAGTAAAAAAGGACACCTCTAGTTCTCGTTCCTTGTGTTTGGTTAACGAACTTGAAACGCTGGACACGATGTATAGATGCAACCCTCCCTCGTTTACCGTTTACCCATTCTTCATGATAATTTGTTCGGATATTGTACTTGAACGAAAAAGAAAAAGAGAAGAAAATTTTATCCATTCGCTGATTTGTGTAAGTCTCAACAGTTTCGAGTTAATTAATTTGTGGCATTTCTAGGAAAGCGGCATGATGAGAGTCAAACAAATTAAAGGCAAATCAAATTAAATAGTCCTAACTACTACTAGTACCTTTTTCTCGCAGTAGTCAGACTTGGCCCCTCCTCCGGCGAGGAGCCTCCTCACGCCGGCGGCGGCCAAGTGCGCGGTGGTCTTGGCCGTCTTGGCGCCGCTGAAGTCGAGCTTGCACGGCTGCAGGTGGTCCATGACGCTCGCCTTCACGCATATCTTCTGCGTCAGCCCCTGGAACACGTTCAGCAGCAGCGAGATGAACCCCAGCAGCATCAGCTCTGCACATCAGCCACGGTTAATTTTCAGTCGATTTCATCCTTAATTCGCTTGCTAGACAATTCTTGTTTTCTTTTCTCATGGAGATGATGAG